GGGGGGGGTTGTCACTATTGTCATTATAATCATTATTGCAATTTTTGTCATTTTTGTCATTATTGTCATTATTGTCACTATTGTCATTTTTGCCATTATTGTCAGTACTTTCTTTATTGTTACTATTGTCAGTACTTTCTTTATTGTCACTATTGTCAGTACTTTCTTTATTGTCACTATTGTCCTTGATGTCACTATTGCTATTATTGCCATTTTGTCACTATTGTTATTGTTGTGGTTTTGTCATTATTGTCATTATTTTGTTTTATCTCATTTTAATTTTCTTTCATTAAATTATTATTTACTTCTTTTTTTAAAGCCGTTATAATCAATGTTTTCATTAAATGTATCAATGTTATCGTCGACATTATAATTGTTTTTAAGGTTTCAATGGTGACTTGAGTGGGCCGAAACGTTGAATACATTTTGTTTATAAAAGGAAATTTCCAAAATTTGACAATCTCCTTATACTTTTTGTTATCGTGCTAAACAACAACACCGGTGATGATGATGATGGATGATGATGATGATGATGATGATGATGATGATGATGATGATGATGATGATGATGATGATGATGATGATGCTGATGAATGTAGCTTTTGTTTTAGGTTAATCTGTAACCAGTTAGAGTTTGAGTAAAGAGAAGCTCATTGGCACAATAACAGTCATATATGTGTAGGGAAAAAGCAAGACAGAAAGACAGAAACGGCAGAGGGAAAGAAAAGAAGTAGCACCTTCCAGTGGTGTCCTCCAACCACCGGTATTTTTTCACCAGGTGAAATTGATAATTTCTAAAGAACAAAATGAGGGGAAAATGCCGTGTCCCATTATAAAACACAGACATAAAAAGCAAACGCAACATATCGGTATAATAGAATACAATTCTTCTCAACGTTTTTTTTTTAATATAGTAGAGGGTTTTACGGCGCTCGCAACTACTGCATAAGGTCATATGAGCACAAAGGGGTGGGTGTCAACAGAGAGGTCTTTACAGGGAATCAGACTTATTCTGCTCACCTCTCTAGCTTCAACAGCACAAGGTCTGCTTCGACTACCAAGGCACACCAAAAACAGCAGGTCACAAGAGAGTGACAAACATACAAAAGAAGTAGAGGAATAATGACAATAGTAAGGATTAGGAAAGAAAAAAATGCAGTTCCCTGTTGCAGTTCAGGCACAGTTATGAGCGTGGCATGAATCAGCCCATTTACAATTCTACTGTGCTTGAACAAGAAATGTCTCCCCTTTGGGAATAGTCTAAAGACACTACAGTCAGTGGCACTACCCTGGGGGGGCATCTCAGCGTTTTAGTTTTAGTTTTAGTAGAGGTTTTGCGGCACTCGCAACTGCATAAGGTCATATGAGCTCCAGGAGATAAGAGGGGTTGCAAGAGAGTAACAAACATAAAAAAAGAAGAAGGGGACATAAAGACGATAGATGTTTCATAGGAAAGAAGAAGCACACCACACCAGAGCATCCGCCAACCACTCACATCTCAATGTTTAAAAACTGGTAAAAACATGAAAGTGAAAAACAAAAGTTTTGGTACTTACGTTTTCAGAATTTCACCTGTGAAAAAAAGACCAGCCCCGCCCGGCTTCCAAATCGCACAGCTACACACAACAGCTCGACTCCAAAAGAACGAAAATAATATCATCTCTGAGAACAATGATAATTAAATCATCATCAATTCTCCTGCCTTGCTCCCGACGTGGCACAAGAAACTAGAATGACCAACTCGTCCTCAGAAGGACAAGGACGAGCGAGAAGCACTCCATTATAGAATTCATCAGAGAAACAAAAACAACAACAGCTGACTAAGAAGACTGACCCGCCTCCGAGTTCCGAGCGATCGGAGCTGTCTCAGCGAGGAAAGCCTCCGTGCTAAGCAGAACTGAACGCGCGTGCGTTACTTGGAAATTGGAAATGCTTGAGGAGTAGAGGTGGGCAAAATCCGGATAATCTATATAAGGATAACCGGATTATTCTCAATGAAACATCTTCTAAATTCAGACTCTTATCTCTCTTTCCTGATCCCCGTTTGCCGAAGTGGGTGCACCCATAATTTGTTGAAGTGGTTCTAACCCATTTGCAGAAGCGGTTCAGAGCATACTATTTGCAGAAGAGGTGCACTAACATATTATCCGGATTTTGCTAAAGCGACTCATCGCCCAGCCCTGTTGAGGAGTGAGAGAGGCGGCGGTGGCAAGGTAAGCTGCCTGCTGTTGTTGCTTGCTTGCTTGCTGTCCACGAGGAAAGAGTGAGCGAAAGATTATTATGATGTACCGCGACGCGCAGGAAACAGGCGCTCATCATCAGCTATGGGGCTTGTGAAGTTGTTGGAATCATCTTAATTAAAGCTTGTTTATTATACCCATCTACCTCGTATGGGTGTCTGCTATTGAAGGAGGTGGGGCTCGCCTGGATTCAGGGGTAAAATTAGCGAGAAAATGGCTGGCAAAATTTGGTAGCTTTCATAGCTTGACAGTTCTTACGAAACTGAAAAGATACATTTTGTGCCTCTAATCAATGTTTATCACAGTGACATGTGTTTTTAATAGATATAAAAGATGTTGAGCCAAAAAACCCACCCCAAAACAACGAACAAGCATACAAAAACAAAAAAAACAAAAAAACAGATTTTAAAAAGATTACCAAACTCGCAGGAAAATGCCGTTTTCTTCGATTTCATTTCTTCTTTTTTTAACGAGAGCCTGATTTCTCCACGATGCCTCACATGAATATTACTACTGCTGTCACCGCCGTTTGCCTGCCTGCCTGCCTGCCTGCTTGCCTGTCCATCTTGTTGTACATTTCTTTTCAAGGTGATAATTGCGCTGTTTTTCTATTTTGTTTCTTTCTTTTCTTTCTTTTTGTTTTGTACACCTTCCTCATCCACCTTCCCGCCT